AATGTAACAGCTACTTCACTGCTTTATCTACTGAGCACATGGCAAGAACACAAGTCGCTGAGCACATAGGGTCCCCAACACAAACAGCGCTTTGTAGAAGCAGATCCAACAAAACACCGATGTCTGATAACAGTGTGAACAACAGTTATAAATTCATCCAGAGAGAAGGGATGGATCCTCTCCAGAACAAGAAGTGGTGGCTGATGAGGAGCAGCAGTACAATCAGGCCAATGTAGACATGCCTGAAAGAGAGAGAGACAGCCCTTGAAGGTGGATTCACATCAAATGGAAGAATGAATTGAACTGGAGCCTGCAGCAGGGCAGGCCCATTACAGGCACGCTGCTTTTAGGTAGCTAGGACAGAAATATCTTCCAGAACTGTCAAGGAGGGTTGAGCTCAGTTCTGCTACCTGAGCTCTTTTTGCAAGTGAGACTTGTGTTCTTTCTTCTTAAAGGGCTTGACTGATCCTCCTCCTAACAAGAAGTGGTGGCTGATGGGGAGGCTCAGTACCAATGCGCTCATATAGTTGCCCTTCCTGACAGCGATGGAGAGCCCATGGGTGTAGATCCACAACTGGAAGAAGAACTGACTGAATTGGAACCACTTGCAAGAGGTGAAGCTGTAGCTGAATCACAGGCTCACTGCTCTCAGGCAGTCAGTAAATAAACAAACAACAAAAAAAACCTCTTTCTCTAAACACTGAAGGAGGGCTGAGCTCGGTCCTCTTCCCCCAGATGGCCATCCTGCTTCCACAAGGGAAAATCCCATGATTTTCCCATCAGTTGATACAGCCCCAATTGCAAGACCGTCCCACTGGCTCGTATGGTGCATCCATTTCCTGACAGTTCTTCCACTGACCCACGAAGCTTGAATGATCCTTGCTTTCCCACCCTTCCCCTCACCCCTGTCAAAGAGTTGACATCAATTCTGCACCAAGCCTTCAGTAAGAGAACAGGCTAGGGACTGGCATCCACTGAGTAGTGCTGAACAGGAGGTGTCCATGGGAAGGACCCCAGCATTCCTGGAGTTTCCAAGTAGTGTCAAAGGAGTTGCAGAGGCACCTTTTCCTTTGGATAAAGGGAAGATTAATCAGGACAGGAAGAAGTACTGAATGTCAACGTGGAGAGCCATTATCCTTGGTATCGGGTGTTTTTTTCAAAACTGAACATCAAACTTCTTTTTTTTTTCTTTTAATTAGAAAACAAAAGAAGAAAAATAATTCAAATATCAAACAAAGAAAAACAGTAATACCTTAGATATTTTTTAACCTTTGTCTACACTTGCATTCCCATGTGTCTTCCTGATTTCCCCAGTAAAGAAATGACATTGTTGTGTGTTGTGTGGACCTGGCCCAGCTCCTCAGGACTGGGTAGGGGCTCATTCACATGGCATCTCAGGGCAGGCTTACGGAATTGCCTTTGTTTGGTGTCAGGACAAGAAGGTAGAGAGGGATGAGGACAGAAGCAGTGCTACCTCCTTATACTTCATTGACAGAAGTGAGGAAAGGGAAAGAGAGCAAGGCAACAACTTTTTAGTGTTTGTGGTTGAGTTTTTTGCAAAAGTGTGTGCAAGGAAGGCACTATCGTTCTGCCACTTCAAATAGCAGCTATCACCCACATCCAGCAGAAAGCCATGTCCTCTGCACCCCTGTGCCTTCTCCAGCCATAGGAGCCAATACAGCTACACAGACACAGCTTCCTAGGACACATGTGGCCATCCTAGCCTCAGGCTGCAAGGTGTGCCCAAGCTTTCTGTCTGTCTGCTCCACTTGCATGCATTTAAGTCTTCGGGGCCCAATGGGATTCATCCCAGGTTAATAAAAGTGCTGGCTGATGTCATCATGAGAAGTCTCTCAATTATTTTTCAATGCTCTTGGGAATCTGGAGGGGTCCTACTTTACTGGAAACGGGCAAATATTATCCAGTTTTTTTCAGAAGGAGAAAAAAGAAGGCCCCACTAATTACAGGCCTGTCAGTTTCCATTTGGTGCCTGGCAAAATTATGGGTAAGATCTGGGAATTATTTAAAAACACCTGAAAGACACTGCAGTCACTGGTCACAGCTAATACAGTTTCATGAGAGGAAAGTCCTGTTTAACTACATTAATGTCCTGGTCTAGACAATCACCAACTGCGTGAGAATTAAAAACATAATTTTCTAGATTCTGCCTCTAGGAAAGGGCAAACCATACAGACTGGGGCACAGGAGGCAGGAGAGCAGCTCAATGAAAAGGGATCTGGGGGTTCAGGTCAGCAGCAATCTGAGTCAGCAGTGTGTCCTGGCAGCCCAAAGGGCCAACCATACCAAGGGATGGTGCATTAGGTTGCCCAAGGAGGCTGTGGATGCCCCAGCCTGGAGGCATTCAAGGCCAGGCTGGATGTGGCTCTGGGCAGCCTGGTCTGCTGGCTGGCAACCCTGCACATAGCAGGGGGTTGGAACTGGATGAGCAGTGTGGGCCTTTTCAACCCAGACCATTCTATGATTCTATGCTCAGGGCTACACTGCCAGCCAGGCGAGAGGAAGGGGCTGTCCTGCTGTGCTCTGTGCTGTGCAGCCTCACCTTGAGAACTATGTGCAGCTTAGGGCATTGCAGTAAAATAAAACTATGGGAGAACATCCAAATGAGGGGTACAAAGATGGTGAAGGGTCTGGAGGGCAAAGTGTATGAGGAGCAGCTGAAGTCCCCAAGCTCTTGTCCCCAAGAGTTCAGGGGAGGCCCGATGGCAGTTGCAGCTCCTCACAGTGAGTGGAGGGCAGCGCTGAGCTCTGCTCTGTGTGACAGCGACAGGGCTGAGGGAGCAGCATGGAGCTGTGTCAGGGGAGGGGCAGGTTAGACAGTAGGAAACTGTTTCTGATGGAATTCTAGAAGGGTCTCCAAAATATCGTTAGATTTCTGGTTAGTCCTGTGTGGAGCCAGGAGTTGGACTCAATGATCCTTGTGGGTCCCTTCCAACTCGAGATATTCTATGATTATTATCTAATAGTACTTAGTATTCTGGATAAACTGGGAATAGCAAAGAGAACTGTTTTCATATACATACAGAAAAAGTACAAAATGTGTAAACATCATGATATTTTGCTAAAGCAAACAACAACACAAAAACAAACAAACAAGCAAAACCACAAACAAAACTCCACTTTAATTCACTACTTTAAAACTCTTATTTTTGTGTAGCCTCCCTTTTGGTTTCACCTAATTTGCAGCTGTGCAATTATTCTGCAATTTCTTAATTCTGGTATTATTCAAGTTGCTCTGTGGAACAAAGCAGCAACAGACAGGATAACTGCTTGCATGAGATTCTCTGCGCTATACTTTTGATGTAAAACAAAGGATACGGAGATGATAATCCTAAATTTGCCTTATGTTTCTTGTTCTTAAGCAATCAGGCTGAGGAAATACCTGGCCTCCCATGCAACAAAGGAGTTCCATTCCCTTAGACATGTGGCAAGTAGCTGCACTCTCCTCAAAGAGCTGGCATTGTTTGGATGTTTGCTTGTGTTGTGTTTGAGTAGAGGAAAACAGATTTGGTACCAATGGAATTAACAGGTGAAATAATAAGATGTGAAAAATTTTAGTTGGGACAAATGATTTAGGTAGGTAGTAGAGAGCTGAGAGCTGCTTCTTAGTAACTGGGGCCCAAGTCTTTCTATAGGTGCGGAGCTGAAGAAACTCATTTTCCAATACAATTCTCCTACCAACAGTTACAATAACTCTCCTCTGCTGAGCTTCAGCTCCTCCTGGCTGAAAAATTATGCCTTTCAGTATAGACATATGCACAGAATGAACTCATTTAATTCAATAACTACTCTTCTAAAGACATTATAAACCACAGCTGCTCACACCTACGAGAAATAACTCCCCTGTAACGCTGGTGTCCACCACAGCATCTTGCTTTAAAGTTTCCCAGACCTGTTGGGAGTTTGCCAGTGAAGCTTTTTAAATTCTCACGCTTTTGACACTTATTTCAACTTGCCAGGATCGCAGCAGCGAGGGAAGGGCGGAGGGAGGCGCATCCCTCAGACGCCGTGAGCCCCATCGCAGCGCACCATTCAGCGCGGAGCTCTCACCTGAAAGCCCCTACAGAACACACGTCCTACCCTGCTCACACACGTTAGTGAACGGCGCAGGTGTGGACCGCGGGAAACCTCGAGACCGACTCCAGCACGAGGATTTTTAAGCCTTCCAGCTGTATGTTCTTCCCCTTCGGCAAACCGTCAGAGCGGCAGCGATGCGACGCGCTCCGCCTTGTGAAGAAGCGCCGCGCCGAAGCCGCAACGACCCACACCGCTCCGTCGCGCCACCTCGCTCTCGCGAGATAAAGAACCCCGCGAGAGCGCGGCGGTGGGAGGGACAAGGGCTCGCGAGAGCTAGCCGGAGGAGGAGAAGGGAAGAAAGATCTCGCGAGAGCGGGGCGGTGCGCCCGGCTCCGGGCATGCGGGCGAGGAAGGCAGCCTGGCGCGCGATTGGCGGGGCGCGGCTTCCTCTCGTCGCCGGCCTCGCGCATGCGCCGCGCTCCGCCGGGCCGTGTCCCCGGTGCGTGTGTATGCGTGTGTCAGCCGCGGGCAGCGCTCCCGGCCGGCGGCCGCACGGCACCCGAGAACCGCCGCGCAGGGTAAGCGGGCTCGGGGCCAGCGCAGGGCCGCGTGCCGCTCCGGACACCCCGCCGAGAGGCGGCCCGGCTTCGGCCTGACCCCGCCGCCCGGCCGGGGAGCGGTGCGGGAGGAGGAGGAGGAGGAGGAGGAGAAGGAGGAGGAGGCGGCGGCGGCCCGCGGGCGGCCTAGCCCCGCGTAGCGCGGCCCGGCGCCGGGCGAGGCCGCGGCGGCCCGGGATGGAGTGAGGCGGAGGAGGCCTCCCAGGAGACACTTCCGCGTTGCGGGAAGGCCCCGCCGCCCCGCCGGCCGGCCTGCGACCCGGCCCCGGGCTCCCATGTGAGGCGGGCGGCGGGCGGGCGCCGGCGGCAGCAGCGAGCTAGCGAGGCTCAGCGGGCGGCCCGGGGCGGGCGCGGTGCCGCGTCTCCATGGCGCCCTGAAGGCGGCGGCGGCGGCGGCGGAGTCCCTAGGCCGCGTCCTCGTCCTCGGCCGCGAGTGATCTCGATGCCGAGCACCTCGGAGGCGGCGGCCGGCGGGAGCGGGGGAAGCCGGGGCTGGGGGAGCGGCGGCGGCGGCGGCGCGGCGGCGGAGGCGGCCGCCGACAAGAAGCGGCTGCATCACCGGAGACGGAAGCGCTTCGCGGCCCAGCCGCAGCCTCCCCCCCCGCCGCCGGCCCCGCACCCGCTGCTCTTCCCGCTCCTGCAGCCGCCCCTCCTGCAGCCCCCGCTCCTGCAGCCGCCGCTGCCGCCGCAGTCCCTGCTCTTCCTGGCGGCCACCGGCGCCTCCTCCTGCTGCGGGGACGGGGGGGAGCGGAAGCGGCCGCGGGGCAAGCGGCGCTCGGGATCCCGGCACAAACGGCGGCGGGGCCGCGGGGGAGGCGGCGGCAGCGGCGGCGGCGGGACCCAGGAGGCGGAGAAGCGGCGCGGTAGCGGGGGGCTGAGCACGCTGGTGGAGGAGTACGACGACGTGAGCTCCCAGTCCGAGGGGCTGGTGGGCGGCGGCGCGGCCGGCGGCGGAGCGGGCAGCGGCGCGGGGAGCCCGGCCTCGTCCCCGGGCGGCGGCGGTGGCGGCGGAGGCGGGAGTCAGCGGCAGCGGGGCGAGGCGGAGAGGAGCGGGCGATCCCGTCGGGAGCACCGCAGCGGCAGCGGCCGCTCGAAGGAGCGGCACCGGGAGCACCGGCGGCGGGGGGAGGAGAAGGCGCAGCAGGAGGGGGCGGCGGCGGGCCGCGGGGGGAGCGAGGCCGCCTCGTCCTCCTCCAAGTCCCGCAGCCGCCACAACCACGCCGGGGGCCAGGACCGGGAGGGACTCAAGAGCGGCGGAGGCGGCGGCGGCGACGGCCGCAGGAAGGGCTCCCTCGCCTCGCCCGGTAGCGGCAGGAAAGAGCGGGAGAGTAAAGCGCACCGTAGCCGGACTAAAGCGGCCAAAGAGCCGCCGTCGGCTTACAAGGACCCGCCGAAGGCCTACCGCGACGACAAGCCCGAGCCCAAGGCTTACCGGCGGCAGCGCTCGTCCCCCAGCCCCGGCCGGGACGACAGCCCGCCGCTGCATCGCTCCTCGCAGAGCCTGCGGAGCCGCAAGTCGCTGAGCCCCGCGGGCGGCCGCTCGCCCCTCAGCCCCTACAGCCGCCGCCGATCCCCCAGCTACAGCCGGCACAGCTCCTACGAGCGCGGCGGAGATGTGTCGCCCAGCCCCTACAGCAGCTGGCGGCGGTCGCGGAGCCCCTACAGCCCCGTTATCCGGTGAGTGCGGGCTGCGGGAAGGGGGGAGGGGAGAAGGGGGTGATGGGTGGAGGAGAAGGTCCTGGACCGTGTGGGTCAGCAGGTGTCTGGGAATGAAAGCCCTGCTGCTGCTCCTGGGCTGACGGAAAAGGGGCAAGTGGAGATCCTCCTGCCCAGGCCTGGGGAGAAAGGAGATGTGGGCAGCACTCCTCTCCTGCAGCTATTGTGTGTTTTGGGGAGGCCATGTAGCTGGCAAGAACGCTTTCTAAATACCGAGGGCCCTGTACTTTTTCCAACGTGAATGACGATGGAAGCACTTATCAGAGGGCAAGTTTTCCGAAGGACCAGTTTGGGGTTTTGAATCTTAAGAAATATGGGTGTTCTCAGGTACATGCTTGTGTATTTTCTGTTCCAGGGTGCAGGTTGTAACAAACGTTCACCAGCATATTCATAATCCTAAGAGAAACCAAGCTGGTGGATAATTCCTGTTGCTGGTGTTTCTTGATTTAGGTTTTTTTGGGGGGGGGATTTATACAAAGATTTAGTCTTTGTTTCACTACGAAAAGGAGCCAGTGTCAAACTGTAGATAAACTGATTTCCTACTGCATTATTCAATGTGGGCTTGCAAATCATCCTCTTTGTGCAAACTTAGATTGCAAAGGTCAGTGTTGCTGTGACTTTCTGCATATTATATAGAGAATGAGTGCTTTACCTCTATAATCATATGCAAGCAACATCACAGCACTAAAGCATTTCAAAATATTTTCACTTACTGTAATTACTTACTGAAATTCATTTACTGAATTACTGGGAATTTGAAGCATTTAGTTAACATGTACTTCTCACTGAAGACTTGCATTTCTCATAGTGGAATTGTACTCTAGCCACGTTGTGTGTAAGTTTATTTAAATTCACATCTGAAGTTAGCTTTTAAATGTGATATGTTGGCAAGTATTTTGTTTGCACTTCATAGCCTGGAAGGTTGTCTGGGAACTGCTTTCTGATGTTTTTAATGAGCACCATGTGTCAGCTGCCATTCAGGTATCCAGTGAAGATGCTGAAGCCATTCCTGTGTTTTGATGGCTGTTGGTAGGGCATCCTGTCTGGGGTGTGTGTCAAATGCTGTTTAAAGAGTGAAGTAACAGCACTGTGCCCTACCGTATCCTAGGCAGAACAAAGGTGCCCTTGGAATGAAACAAAAACAAAAAAACAATCATTTTAAGGTACAGTTGTATGGAAAAGTTTTGTTAACAATAGACTGTTTGAAGCAGAAAGCATTGTGAGTGCTCAGAAAAGGAGCACGTTGTTGTTGTTCTGTGAGAGCCTGTTCCAAGTAGTTAAGGATTCTTTATCAGGATGATTTGTGTAATAGAATAGCAGGAACGTTTCTGGAATATCTTTAAATGTTGTGGAAAAACAGTATTTTCTGTCAATACTGATGTCTTGGAATAAGAAAGCTATTGATGATAGAGCTGCATGCAGTAGGCTTGTGCTTGTGAGCAGCCATATTAGGCAGATTAATAGCCGAGTTAGTTTGAGACCCTGCCTTACGTGCTGGCTGGTAGTAGAAGGTACAGGAGGTCTTGTAGGATACAGTTAGAGAGGAGAGATCTGTAGGAGTGTTTTGTTTACTTGGTTCTGTTGGTAGTGGGCCTGTGGTTTGAAGCATGACAGTTTGTTTCCCGATTCTTGTGTTGTCTTTCTTCTAAGTGTGTAAATCTTCCTTGAGTCTCAGACATGTTTCCAGGAGTTGGCTTTGTGACTTCATTCCTTCCTTCCTCCAGTTAAACTTCAATTTGCATCCTGTCTTTTATCTGTGCACAGATAAATTGTTTTGTTAACTACTGCACGTTTTCAGATTTACTTGGGAAAGGCTGGAATGGCTGAGTGGAAGAGGAAGTTGCTCTGTGGAGAAGATGAAGTTAGTCTGCCCAAATGTGGCATTAATAAAAAAAGACATTTTCACAGAAAAAGAAAGAAGCCAATAGTGTCAAGATAACCTTTGTTGTCCGTAATATTTGCCTGTTGTGGAGAAATGCAACTTGGTGTTTCTTTGCTTTGTTATGTGCACTGAGAAAAGATGGAAGACAGGTGTATTGCTGTGTTAGCCTTTCAGAGATGTCATGCTTGTTTTTGTTGCTTGACTGTATGATATTGCGCTCAAAATGCTGAAAACTGTTGCTGTGTTGTTTAGATATGGATATAGCAGCCGAAGTCTGGATAGAATATAATGATTTCATGAAGGCAGCAGCTTCTTAGAGCTTCTGTCTTCTTGATCCAGGTGATTTAAAAATGAAATTCTGGGGTTGCATCTACCTGTAATGATGTCAGGATAGTAACAGCTTTGTATGTTCCTTGGCATTCCAGTCTGTGAGTCTTTTTGCTCTTTGCAGTATGTATTTCGTGTACAAAACTTCAGCAGTGTTCTGTTACTTATCTCTTTATTTTAGTATGTAGAAGGTGAGAATGAAGTGATTCTAGCAAGCTTGGTCATCTCCTGTCTGGAGTCCTGATTTTTTTTCATCTGCATCTGAACTGCTTAGGGAGAAAGTTCTGATAAACAGTTGAAGAGAAACAAGTGAAGTCAGCTTCACTCTTGTGAATTCCTGGTTTTCTCAAGCAGCAGTAACAGCATAATTATGTGAGTAGTGAATTACAGAAGTCGCTGACTAGTATCTTTCATTGTAGTTGCCTGGAGATTGCTTCTGTTCAGAAGCAAAGACAAAAATACATGTTTTATGCTTGGAAAATTGTTTGAATGGTTGACTAATTGCTTTTGCCGTTATAATTGCAGTAAACATTTATATTTTGTGCAAACTGATTGCTTGAGCTATTTTCACTTGATGGCAAAAACTTTTTCACTTGCTGTTTGTGGCTTTGTATTATGTTTCCTTGTACATTGTAACATGCACTTGTTCTTCAGTAGTGCTTGCACACTTCTGGTAATGGAAATTCTTCCATGTTCCAAAAAGCATGAGGAAGTTATTTCTCTACTGATAAATGGACTCTATCTTTGTAGAACTCAGAAAATAATAATAATTACAAAAACAAAAAAACAAAAGAAAAAAACCAGTCCAAACCAAACAACAAAAAGCCACCGTAACTGACAAAATAAGGAGAGTCTTTTTGGAAATGAACTTAGGATGAAATTGTAGGGAGTGATGCTTTTCATCATTTCAGTCAGATCATATGCTATGTGATCACACATTTAACTTAGTTAACTGTATATATGAGTAATTGCATTTTCCAAATTTGGATACACCTACCCATCTGCCTGGATGGAAGTAAGTAGGTGGGGCACTACTAGCATAGTAATACGGTATGGTGTGTGGATGTTGCTTCTAGGAAAGGAAAAATACACCGCTTCTTTTCTTACCTGAACTCTGGAGCCATCCCTTTTTATTTTTCCTGTGGTAGGTCATGTAGCACTGAGGCTCTGTGAAGTATGGATCACTTCTGTGCAAAACCAAAACAAGCATAGGGAAAATGGTAAAGTATTTGTTGAGCAAGTAAATACCTACTTCATGCAGAATCCATGGTTTCATACATCATATAAAAAAAGCTTTGCAAGCACTGATCTTGATGCTTTTGGATTTAAAGCAGTAGGAGAGATTTTCAGATGTTTTTCCCTCTTGTTTGGGGAAAGATTTGCTGTATAAAACTCTTGAATCTTGTTCAGTAAAATTGTATTTTGGAAAAAATTGGAAGTGAAGCTGTGTGTTTTCACTGTTGGAATAGCTATTTCTTCCAGTGTGTTTGAGACTTGTTACCTGGTTGTGGACTTGACATCTTGCTGATGTGCAAAAGATGATTTGCTGATTTCCTTTTACCTTGATGATGTGCCTTTGAGTTTCCTTGTTGATCTGTTTTGGTTTTTTTCCTTATTGTGGGAAGGGCCTTCATTTGAAAAATGAACCTTGTAATGTGTTTATATTTGAGTTGCCATTGTTTTTTTGCTGATTGATTTCTTTGTATGCAGAGTTTTCATCTGAGAACACAGGGCTATAAAGCAGATTTAAGAAACAAAACATGTTTAGAATTTTTCAGTGTTCTTAGGCTGTGTGTATTGGATACCCTTTTAAAGATTTCTGGTTTGAAATGGTTAAGCAAGTTACGTAGTCTTCATGTGCATAGCAGAATAGGATGTTGGTTGCAGAGCTGCTTAGAATATAAGGCTGGACTAAGAGCTTGAGAAAATAAAAAGAGTATGTAAGATATTAAGGGAGAGCACCAATACTGTTAGGTGGAGAAGAGAAGGCTCTGGGGAGACCTGATTGTGGCCTTCCAGCACTTGAAGGGAGCATATAAACAGAAGGGGGAACGGCTGTTTATGAGGCTGGATAGTGATAGGAGAAGGGGGAATGGTTTTAAACTGAGACAGGGGAGGTTTAGGTTGGATATTAGGAGGAAGTTTTTCACCCAGAGGTGGTGAGGCACTGGAACAGGTTGCCCACGGAGGCTGTGGATGCCCCATCCCTGCAGGCATTCAAGGCCAGGCTGGATGTGGCTCTGGGCAGCCTGGTCTGCTGGTTGGTGACCTGCACATAGCAGGGGGTTGGAACTGGATGATCTTTGCAACCCAGACCATTCTATGCTTTGCTTGCTGTTGCAACATGAAATAGCTGTACCGCCAGCTGTAATGTTTTGTCGAGATGGTTTATGTTACTGAGTGATTATAAATGTCTTGGAAGATGTGTGGTGAAGCCAACTGATTAAATTTAGGTCTCCCCTCTCAAATACACTGCGACCTTACCATGAACTGGAAGATGGCAGTGCCTGCTTGTTAATGCAGCTCACTGGTTGTTGATGGCAGATCCAAACTGCAATGGATGTTTTAACCCCGTTTGGTTTTATTTGCTTTCTCAGTATTCAGCTCTTTACTCTGATGATTCCTTTGTGTCCTGTCTTGTCTAAAAGTAAGAAAACATAGGATGAGAATCAATTTCATTGTTTGGGTATAGTATTGTTTGTGCTTAGGTAACACTCTGGCTGCTGGCACGTTTCATGTAGCTCGCTCCCAA